TTGGTACTTTTTGCAGTGTTACATACATAATTTTTTCTACTATGAACGCCTTATTTTATCTTTCCATAAAATAGCTACTATTTTTCCAGCAGCAGGAGTTAATAAAGCCAATTTATGGAGATATTATATTTAGTGACACAATAGTAATTAGAATAAAATTTGGGGGGGGGGTCAGGCGGATAACCCTCGGGAGGTGGCCGGAAAGATGGAATACGGAGATTACGGGAAGATGGACGCACAGAATCATGGGAGGCTTCGGAGGATGGTATAAGAGGAAGCATGGGGAGCTGAACTGTTTCATCAGCCAGTTCTTGGCAGTTACCTCCAGAAAATAACAAAAAGAGAGAGTAATGCCTGTCAATATTGTCAGGATGCCGATACGTATTTGTATGTCCCAGATTCGAAGGATGAACACACGGCTTTGCCGGGAGATAATCGTGAACAATTTTTTTGAGTGCATCCTGTAGGATGAAGATACGTGGAAAGTGGTTGATGCAGCTTAACTGTTCACCATAAGAGATGTGAATGGACTGTATCTTCTTGTTTATTATTATATTGGGGAAATTATGCTCAATGTGAAGTTTAATCTTTTTATTTATGTTGTCAAGTACAACTCTTTTCTTTTTCCTCAATTCAATTCAGAGCTATCTAATAAAAACACTGTACTGTTACTTAGATACCTCAATAATGCATTTTTTATAGAACCACAACATACACCCCCGCGTTGAAGTTTTATCTTCAAAAAACTAACAATTTTATTTAATCATTAATCATTATATGGAAAGAGGCAGATTTTAGAAATTGATCTTGTAAAAATTCCTTCTTTTGTTTTTAATTTTACTAATCTCACTCTATTATCAGCACTGGGAATCACTTCAATAATTCTTGCGCGTGGCCAATTTAAAGGTGGAATATTATCTTCCTTTAATAAAACTAAATCGTTGACTTTTAAATTTTTTGAAGGTATGAGCCATTTTGGTCTATTTTGCAAGCGATTAAGATATTCTCTAGACCATTTTTTCCAAAAAATTTGTTGGATGTGAGCACAGTTTGTGGACCTGCGTGACCTAATCTCAAATATTCTCTTTTTAGCAATAGTGTGACTACATGATCTTTTGATGGCAATAAAATCGGGTATTTTTGTGTATAAGGTATTTCTGCATGAGCTAAACGTCCACCAACACGTAAAATCTTAGATTTATCTAAAAATGGATTTAATAAAATAATACTTTTATTAGATATTGTCTTGTTAGATTGAAGATCTGAAATTTCATTTTGAAAATATTTATCTTGCAGAATTTTCACAATCACAAAAAGCGAATTATCTAATTCTTCTAGTGTAAGACAATCAAATATTTTTCTGAATTCAGATTTGAGTTATTAATAAATCTTAAAACATAGGCAATTGTTCTTTGTAAACAAATAAATGAAGAGAACCTATTAAATATGTCATTCCAATATTCATAAGCCAAATTTCGATTGATTGTTAAAAATGTTTTTCTTCTTCAGGAGGATTTTCTAATGTGCAAATAAAATCAAAATTATGTAAATTTAAATTGATTTGATACAAAAACTTTGGACCATGCCACCATATATCTGATTTGATGAATTCACTTGGTGTTATTCCACGAGATAAACAATCTGCAGGGTTATCAAGAGATTTTATGTGACGCCACCGGTGATTTGTCGTAAGATTTTGTATATTTGAGACTCTGTTACTAATAAAAGTGTAAATTTGTGAATCTGTCCATAAATTTACCGATTCAAACTTTAACCTAGGAGGGTAAATTGACAATATTTTTTGTGTTAATTTTGCAAGGAGTACCATGGCGCATAATTCAAGCCTTGGCAGAGATATTGTTTTAATTGGTGCTATTCTTGATTTTGAAGAAATTAAGTTGCAAGAAAGTTTTAATTGGTGCTATTCTTGATTTTGAAGAAATTAAGTTGCAAGAAATTGTATTATTTATGTAAACTACCTTTAAATATATACAAGCTCCATAAGCTTTGATGCTAGCATCTGCAAATCCATGCAATTCAATTGTAAGAATGTCATAATTACTAAATAAATATCGAGGAACTCTAAAATTATTTAAATCTGACATATTTGTTATAAATTTTCGCCAATGAATGAGTGTTTGTGGATCTAATTGTTCATCCCAATTTATTTTGCTTATCCAAATCTTTTGCATTATAATTTTTCCTGTAACTACTATTGGTCCTATCAGACCTAGTGGATCAAACATTTGTGATAACTTTGATAAAACCTCTCTTTTAGTGAAATTACTTTCTTGTGTTTTATAGGGAGATATAAAAGAGAAAGAATCTAGTTTTGGATTCCAAGATATTCCTAATACCTTACTGGACATATTATTTATTTTTATTGTGTATGTGGATTGTGAATTGGTCCAATTTTAAGTTCTAAAGGCACATATTTTGCATGTCCTAACTGAATATATTCATCTATAAACTTCTTATACAACTGAAATAGATTTGTGTTTCTTTCAAACCTTTTTTCTAAATTAAAAAATCGTTTTTGAGCAATTGTAAATGAATCTCCCAATTTTACATATTAATTTTCCGTTTTTAGTGGCAAATTAACCTGATATGATCCGTTTTCTAACCTTTGTGATGTGGTTTCAAATATCATTTCGGCAAGTTTATCGTCTGGACATAATACAGGGTTTTCACTAATTTCATCTAATGCCCAAAATTTTGTTAAACTGTGATCTAAATCAACTGTATTTGAAAAGAGTGAAACATTGTTTTCTGTTTGATTTAAAATTTGATGTGATTTTACACTTGTAATAGACACATTACCAGCTATTACCCAACCAAGGTACGTATTTTGTAAAACTGGCAGATTTCTCCCGAGTTTTATTATACCTTCGGATAAAATACTGTAATAAACATCTGCTCCAATAAGCATATCTATTTCAGAAGGATTGAAGTATGGTGGATCAGCCAGTTTTATGTGATTAGGCACATGAAAGTTTTTAACTTTGATTGGAGATTGAGGTAATTTATGAGTAATATTTTTTAAATTTGCACAAGATGCAGGAAAACTTACATGTTTTTCCACATTTGAGTGAATAATGAGATTTACCATTTTATTAGAAATTGTACTGTTATCACATATTCCAGAAATTTTCAAATTTTTTGTATATGGTTTGTACTTAAGATCTGTGACTAATTTTTCTGTAATAAATGAGGTTTGACTACCTCCATCTAATAATGCTCGTGCTTGTATTGGCTCGTTATTTGAAGAATATAGTGTTACAAGTGCTGTGGCTAGAAGTATCTGGGAGTTTTTTGTAGAAAAAGCTGAAACTGTTTAAGTATTGTCTAAACTTCTTGAGGAACAAGGATCATTGATTGTGGGTACATTTTGTGTAAGTGAATCAACTGTACGTGAGTGAGTAGAACTTTCATTGTGGATGTGAGGAGTATTATTTTTATTACTATTGTGTGTGTATACATCAAATGTGCGAGAATCTCTAACAGTGTCCTGAGAGTGAGTAAGATTTACATTACTTGTGTGAGGTGAAGGATTATTTGCGTTTTGACTACTTTGTGCAATATATAACTGAGAATTTTGGGGACTTTGGGGAATATGTAGTGTTGAATGGTGTCTTTTCGAACAAATGCGACAACCTCGTGCAATGCAATTTATTGTGATGTGTTTTGTACCCAAACAATTAAAACAAAGTTTATTTGATTTTATAAACTTTACCTTTTCAGCGTGTGATATTTCTTTAAACCTTGTGCAGTTATAAATTTTGTGATCCTGTTTGCAGTATAAGCAATTAATTGTTAAAGAATTGGGAATTAGATTTCAAACTATGTACTGCCGTTCTTGTAGTCCTTTGAGAATTTTGACAGTGTGCGTTTTTGTCATTAACTGTCAAATTTTCTAGAACTAAACATTTTTTCTCTAAAATTGTGTAAAATTGTGCTAGTGTGGGTAACTCTTTCGGATTCTTTTCTGTTTCAAAGGCCTTGCGAGTATTATAATCAAGTTTCTGTTGAAAGAAATAGACAAGAAGTAAATCCCAGTGCTCCACTGGAACACCTAAATTTTTTTAGTGATTCAATGTCTTGTCTCGTTTTTGTAATAAAATCTCTCAATGTGTGTGTATTGCATTTTGCAAGAGAAGGAATTTCTAAAAGATTTTTTATATGTGAATTTATTACTTACTGAAACTTTATTAGAGTATCTTTCCTCTAAAATTTTAAGTGCTGTTTTAAAATTGTCATTAGTTAACGGTAAGTTATTAATCAAATTCAGAGGCTCATTTTTCAAATAACTTTTAAGATTAAGCGTTCATTTTCTGACAATTGCGAATTATTTATTATTAGTGAAGTAAAAATTTCATAAAATGACAGCAAATCTGACATCTTTCTAGAAAATGTAGGAATAGTTATTTCGGGAAGTTTTACATTAAATTTTGTGGGTATATTTTGTGTTTGTACTCGATTCTGAATTGAATTTTCACATTTCTCTGATTCTCTTGACTCAATTGCTTCTTGTATCTTTTCTAATGTGCCATAGAATTTACTTTCAACAATTTTTCTATCTTTTAATTGTTCATCTGAATCATCCAAGTATTCAATTTCATCTTGAGAATCACTATATTTTATGAAAGCTTCACGTAGGTTCTGTTCTCGTTCTTTAAAATATAAAATTTTGACTTGTAAATCATTAACGGATTTATTTGCAAATTTCTCAATGCGCGTTATAGATGATTTAGCAATAGATCTTTCCTTTCGTAAAGCTTCCATTCTTACTTGAGTATTATTATATAGATAAATTGGTTTTAAATTTACAACTTTCCGGTATGAAAATGAAGACAATTATAATAAACTTTAAATAAACCTATGAGAGCACCTCCACTTCAGATTTCACACTTCTGACGAAGAAACTCTTAGCTTCCTGAGAATGAACTTGACTGCAACTGGGACCTACAACTTCGACTACGACTGGGACTGCAACTTTGACTATGACTGGGACTGCAACTTTGACTGCGATGGGGAACTGCAACTTTAACTGCGATGGGGAACTGTAACTTCAACTGTGATAGGGAACTGCAACTTCGAAGCGGGACTGTGATTCTATATTAATTTCTTCTTTGGGGGGACTACTATAACTTGAAATAAGAAATTAATCTTCTTTACCTTTTGAAAAATGTGTAGGGACTTAGGGCTGAATTTTTCTTTAAATCCGGTTCGAAGCTTGACCAAATCTTATGATGCAGCTTAACTGTTCACCATAAGAGACGTGAATGGACTGTATATTCTTGTTTATTATTATATTGGGGAAATTATGCTCAATGTGAAGTTTAATCTTTTTATTTATGTTGTCAAGTACAACTCTTCTTTTTCCTCAATTCAATTCAGAGCTATCTAATAAAAACACTGTACTGTTACTTAGATACCTCAACAATGCATTTTTTATAGAACCACAACAGTGGTGATGGGTACATTGAATGATATTATGACTGTAAATGTAACAGCCTTTAGGAACGTACAACCAGAAGTGTAGACAAAGACAGCTTTGCTCCCGATGAAACGTCCACGACGGATTCCGGGAGACAAAGCGGGGAAATGAAGGAGGGGAATAAAATCTAAAAATTAAATGTTTAAAACACATATCTAATATGTTTACATTCTCAAATAATACAAACATTCAAAAACACCTTATGTTCTTGCTTTCACCTTTGATGAAGTTTGAATTAGCTCCATTATAAGATTTTTTAATTATTTTTTTAAATTTGTTTGAATTAGCTTAATATCTTTAAAAAAGGGTAGGAACTATTCTATTTAAATATTTGTTATAGAGGCTGGTCCCGAGGTAATGGAGTTGCCTTTGTTCAAAAGTTGATAGTGAAAGAGATACTTGGTGTTAAATGTAAAATATTATTTTAGTTTTTTTTTTCATTTATTTCTTAATTAATGCAAATATCCACAAAATTTTAGGGTTTTTTAACCTTTTACCAGCAGACCTCCCAGGTCGGTTACAGTTTACGCATTTTATGCACACTTGGCAAAACCTTGACAGTAAATTTTTAAATAATGTGCCAAATTATCTCGTCGAGTTTTCAATTTTAGCAACAAGCACATATGGGACTCGTAAAATCCTTACGTAGTCACTGAGTATTACTTTCAACGAGAATTCAAGATAAATGTTTGGTGTGTAATTATAGGGAACCCCCTTCAGGGTCCACATGAACTTCCTCCGAATTTGAACGGTGACTTGTTTTTAGATTTCAGGGAATTTTAGTATATTTTCGGGAACAAATATTCCGCATTTATCTTTACCAAGCTCTGCCGAGGGAATTAATCTTTCGTCACCAAAAAGTAATAAGCATCCATCTCAGAAGTATTTTTTGTGACCATATTCTGATCAGAAACTAATCTTGACAACTTTTTTATCCATCAGTAGTGACTGTTAACGTACTCGTCTGTTACAAGCAATAAATTTACGTGGATACCCAATTTCTTTGGGATTAATGTGAAACTTCTGCTGCAGTATAAGACATCTTTTTATTTCAATATTAAAAAAGGTGGAATAATGTGGGTACTATACGGTGAAGTATAGCTTGTTCTTGCTCTTGCAGGAAATAATGCTGAAACTAGAGCCCATTGAAAACAACACTGGTCTTGATTATGAATGTTGATGACATATTTTTTATTTTCATTACTCTTCAATCTTTGGCAATCTGATATAAGAGGCTTTACATGCACTAATGCATACATAATGTATTTAAGTGCCCAACCTAAAAAGTGATTTGCTGGATTTCTTGATCTTCGTCGGTTTGCATAATGGATCTCGCACGTAGATGTCCTCGAGGGTGTCTCAAAAGAAACGCAGCATATGAAAATTTTTATTAATTTAAAAGTTGGCAAGTTTTTACATATTTCCGAATTCTGACGTCAATTCATAAATGTTGTCCGTTTGAGCATAATAAACTTGTCCACAGGAAAAAGTCGAATGGCGTAAGATCGCATGGTCTTAGTCACCAAATCACTTCACTCTTACGTGGGATAAGTCGTCCATTAATCTTCTGCCGTAATAAGTGGATATTTCCATGTGCCGTATGGCAGGTGGTACTATCCTGCTAGAACCACATGTTATTCAAATCTATGCCATCCAAATGACGCCACAAAAAATTCAGTAACTATTTTTGATATCGGACTCCATCGACCACGTTTCCAACCTCATTTTTGAAAAAGATCGGACAAATCACCCCATCAACGTAAAATCCACACCACACTGTCACTCTTTGGGTACACAGTGATATTTCTTGAATGATCCGAGGATTGCGTCTGCCTCAATCAAATTCGAAAATTAAGAAAGTCACCATCAACTTGTTGATTCTCCAATATCCTGGTTTCAATACCTGGGTTAGCTGAATCTTGAATGGATATAGATGCAGATCTTTTGTTAAAATTCGCTGCATTGTGATTTTTGAAATGTTTAAATGCAGTGAGCGACGACGCACTGAGGTTACGGAAATTTCCACCACACTTACACACAGTAGCCATATTTTAGGCTGAACGGCCAGCTGGGATGTTTGTTCAAATATGGCCACTAATCTTTTCGCAGTTGTTTCATTCGTGGCGTTTCTTCTACCGAAAATTCTAAGTAATTTGTGCTGTCAGCTACACAGTCTCCGTACTTTTCACAATCTTCACTCGCTCATCCGTCGTGTAGCGATCCATTTTGTCTAACCGCAACGTGTTTACTACACCATGTGATCCTGCGCAGTGTTGCCAACACTTCGGAATGGAAATGACGTACAATTCAAGTGTTGTGACTATATTCAAAAATCGAGAAATAAGTCAAACTACTAAATTTCCACATGTGATTTCTCAAAGACGAAAAATGATATCGGAATAAATCCAAGTGCGTGTTAAATAGTAAGTATAGTACTTTAAGATCCCATTAATGGTTCCAGAAAAAATTCCTTTCCATGTAACATAACCTCAAATATATCAAAAAAATCGCAACTGGCACTTTTAGGTTAGGATATCTCGAAAACCAGAGACAATTGAGAAATTTGAACCTCGGATTCGATTTCAGGGCTCCAACATCCTTTGGGAAAGTATAATCGTGTTGTTGAATTAAAATCTTGTTGGCCTGGGTTATTAAACACAAAGATTGATTGATTTTTTTTCATTTCTTGGCGTAGTATCCTACAGACTGCTGAAAGCAGTTCACTTAGAAAATTGTTTAAGTCTTTTTCACCTGTCAGTAAAATTTTCACCGTGAAATATTCCGACTTCTGACTAATGATTCAACGGCTTTATGTGTTTAGACCTTTCTTAAAAATAAACCACCCTGTTGTTTCTGAAACACATCTGCCTCTTCTAAAGCAATCCGTTTCACTAATTGGTTTCCCAGGGCGTGGGCTAAATCCTTTGGTTGTAAGTCTAAGAAATTAATTATTAAAATTACAGAAAATTACTTTCCAAATTTAGTTTATTTCCATCTCCTTGGTAAATGTATTCAGTGGATGATATAGCTATGCCAAAATGTATAATGACAAGGAAAGATAATGTAATAAATAGTGCTTGGTTTATTTTACGACGAATCTTAATTCAACATTGTAAGATGGATAAAAAAACTCATTAATGTCCGTGGAATGAAAATCAGGGATCTACAGAGTATCACCTAACGAATGTTACATACTTCAAGGGTATAATCTAGAACCTAAATGATGTCGATTTAATCAAACTTACTTAAATTAAAAATATCGCAAAAAAAGTTACAGGGTGTTAAAGATTCCCTTTTTTATTTCTTGTTTTCTCCTTAACTCAGAACCCAGTTAACCGATTTGAGCAAAATTTACTTTTGCTTAGTTTCTCTTCATGAAGTATGCAGTGAATATGTTCTAATAGGTTAAATCATACAAGACGTTCATTTTACTACAACCCTTTCTGAATATTCTGTAACTGTTTTGTACGTTTACATTTTTACACGTAACTATCACAAATAAATACAGAATTTTATTCTACACAAAAAATGTATACTTATCAAAAGTCGAAATTATGCTTGGTTATGAAGATATTACAGAAAATATTTATTAACACATACCCCATAACTAAGCAGAATAAGCATAATAAATTACTCAATTAATGACACATAAACTGAAAGGTGGCAGTAATAAAAAGTCTACTAATTTATAATAGTAGGGGAGCCCACGATGCTAAACAGGGATTTACTCGAGCGACATAAGGACCTATTGAATTTTGAAGATTAGATGGTAGAAAGAAAAAAAGGTTATATGATGTATACCCTGTCACCGGTGGGGGAAGCGTCTACAGGCTTTCAAAAATGTAAAAAAAAACAGTCACATGGAAATACTCGGGCACGTCAGATATTGATAGTGTATATGCTCTACGTGTCTCCGATGATGGAGATATGTTAATCTGCCGATTTGGATGGTGGGGGCGGCCGTACGGAAAGGTTAAAAATGGGGAAAAAAAATTTACTCTAGCGCGTCAGATATTCAGAGGGGATGTTAAGTGAACCCGAACGAAGCTCCCATTCAAAAGACTGACGATTCGGATGTGACGCAAACTCGTGGCAGCTTTTTGAAAATACAAAAAAAATCGCCATTTTGAAATACTCGA